ACCCCTCTGCACCCCCTTCGGATCCCCTGTGTACTCCCCCGCCCCACCCGTGGGCCCCTCCCCTTCTGTATGCCCCATCTCATCCCACAACCCCTCCTCTCCAGTGCCCCCATCCCATCCCTTATTTCCACTGTGTCCCATGTGCCCCACCCTATCCCAGAACCCTCTCCCCATCCCTTATGTACCTTCCCTGTCCCATATGCCTCTGTTCATGTGCCCCACCCCCCATGCCCCTTTCCTCCCAGCCCAAGGCGCACCCTGTCAGGCAAACAGCTGGGATTCCAGAGTCCCTGAGACAAATTGCTGTAACTGTGTTTATTGATGATTCCAGGGCTGTGGGTAAAGCCCTGGCGGGGAGGGACACAGAGCGAGATGGGACTAATGGAATGCTTCAAGGTTGCTCCGTTGTTCTGGAGCTGCAGACTAGGCGAGTGGAGGACGAGGCCTCAGGCACACGCCGGCACCCAGTCACCCCCAGACAGAGGTGGACACAGGCAGATGCTGGGTGCGGCCCTGGCCAAGGGGGCCTACGCACTCATGCACATTCTCACAGAGACTCAAGGCTGTGTCCAGAACTCCAAACCAGTGCAAACGACTTAGTGCAAATTGAATTCAGAAGGGACAGGGTAGTGGGAGGGGTTGGGAGACAGAGTTATGGATGCTTTGAGTCTCTCAAGCAAAGGAAAGAGAGGAAAGGTCAGAAACGAAGAGACTGAGAAAAGAAGGAAAAAGAAGAGAGGAGGGAGGCGATGGTAATGGGGTCATCCCACTGGAAGGAGCCCAGCTTCAGGATGACATGGTGGGCGATGGCCTTGCAATGCAGCAAGGGGGTGGTCACGAAGATGGAATTGCCGGGGTGGGTGCTGGGGTGCTGCTCTTCTCATGGTGTCCAGTGGTGTCTCTGGTGTTGGGTCGACGCGATCTCCTTTCTTTAACTTAACCTGCAGATGCAACGTGACAAAAGGGTAGGGGCGGGGGTGGGTGGGATGGGGGCTGGGAAACTTCTAGAAGGCGTGCCCACACTCACCTTCCAGAGCTGATTCCTGAGTAACTAACATAGTGGTTCTGGAATGCAGCACAGTCTTGATTCAGAGCTAGACGGACTTGAAGAAGTCCCTGGATTTGAAGGCCCAGACATGAGCTAGGCAGCACCATTTCTGTGGGTTGGGAGAAGGTGAGGCCCACGTGGCCTCTCTGTCCCTCCATCCCTCTACTTGTCTGTGACGGGTGGACCCCTCACCTTTTCACCTTGAGAGTTCTAGGGGTCCAGAGAGCAGCAGTGGCGTGTTGGCTCCTTCAGGAAGTCAAGAACAGAGACCACTTCCAGTTGCAGCTTCCCCTGTGCCACCAGCCAACGATGTCCTATGGAGACAGAGTCCTAGAGGAGTGAGATGATGGCCCAGCCAGGTGGTCAGGGTCGGGGGAGGCTGTGCCTTCCACCTGGGAAGAGGAAGCCACTCACCAGGAAGGCCGGACGTCATTCCATCTGTCCTCACCGTCACACCAGACCATGTCATGTCCTTCTCAGTGCATTGCTGACCTGGCGCCCTGGCCTTCAGCGGCTGGCTGGCATGTCCACCCTGTTGGAGACCTGGCTGCAGGGAGAATGGACAACGGGCTGGTTGCGTGGGCAGGGTTAAGCAGGAATCAGGGGCATCTGGCGGGGTGGACACTCACCCTGGTCTCCTGGCTGAGCTTAGAGGCACCGATCACTGCTCCGTCGCTGCCCACGAGGCCCTCCTTGGCCATGGGCTCTGGAGGCCAGTGCCCCATGGCTAGCCGCCCGGCTGCTGCTCCTCACCCCTTGCTGCACCTGACCTCCCTCCTTAGAGTTCTCACTCACACTGCCCCGCCCGTCTTGCCTTGCCTGCTCTCGCCCTGTGCCCTTGACTCCCCTGGGTGCTGTCCTGTCTGCCGTACAGTCCCAGGGGCTGAGCGGTGAGGGCATACAGCGTCACAGAGTCCACTGTGGGCCCTCTCCGCGCCAGTCCCTGGGCTGCAGTGCCTCGTGGGGACGGCGCGTCCGCAGGCTGGGCCCCGCTGCAGCCTCCTTGCTGCGAAATCTCCAGAGCCCTCCACCCGCGGCCACATCTCCCTGCTGGTGATGTCCCGCTGTGATCTCCCCTGCCCTGGGGCACTGCCCTTCTTTCCCACTCTCCAGCCCTCGAGGCTTCAGCTCAGGCCTTGGAAGGCCCTGCTGCAGCCGCTCCTGTACCTGCTACTATGTGAACTGCGGTGGGTGAGATGTGGTGGCAGCTGGAGACCCATCTGTGTCCTATGTCCCCTTCTCATCTCTGTCTAACCCAGGCCTGGGAAGCTCCCTCACATGCTGGGTTTCCACGGTCCCTCCTCAGCTGCTGTCTCCAAGGCCACCTGTCACTTCCCTGGAGACAGCAGCCTTGATCCGCAGCCTCACTGGCAGCCCCTGCCTCTCCTGCCCTGCTCTCGGAATGCTCTTGCACCTGGGCTGGGCCCACGGCCCCCCCAGCCTTGCTCCATCTCGGCTCCCCCCGAGAAGATGTCACCTTTGCTAACCGTTCTGCCTTCATCTTGCCGCTCTGCCAAGAGGCAGCCACTTCTCCTCTCTGACCTTCACTCTGCTAAACCTCCTTCCAGAAGGTCAGTGAAGTGAGGCCTGGGAGGGGAAGGGGTGTCACCTGCTTGGCAGACCGCTGTCCTCATCTGCCCACTGCTGCCAGCTACACCTCCACTGCCCAGGCCTGGGCCGAACCCTGCCGCTCCCTCGTGTCTGACCAGCCGCCACGTCCTGTAACCAAAAGTGACCGGGATGAATGTCTGGCTCCCCCTTCCTCTCCAACCCTGGCTCGGGTCATTCACCTCCACTCCGATGTTGCTCTGCTTCCGTGAGGCCTGGGAGCCCACCCCACAGGGCTACACTTGCTCCCAGGCCCCACCAGCCTGCCCGAGCTTGCCCTCAACCATTCACCACTCCTGCCAGACTCCAGATGCCCAAGGTGCTCCTTGGCCCCCGCACACTCTCCTCCTGCACCCCATCTTCCCCTGGTTGCCCCTCAGCTCCCCCGCTTCCCCAGTTTCCCCGTTACCCCCCCTCCCCTTGCTCTTCACCCCTAGCCCGGGCTTTTTCTAACTGGAGAGGCCCCGCCCAGAATTCCCGCCCCTGCCCTGCCAGCCAATCAGAGCGGGGCTGTGCAGGAGGGGGGTGCAGGGCCCACCTCCACCCTGGACCGTTCCAGCGCACGTTCCTCTCACCCCGCACCCGTCCGGGAATTCTCCAAAGAGGGCCTCCCCACACGCTGCCTTTGGCATACCTTCTACAGGACCTGGCATTGTCCCCAACATCCCCCTCTGGGTTGAGAACATCTACTCTCTGAGACGGTTGGCTCCCCTCAGAGAACACCATACATGCTGCTCCCTGGCTGCACCCCAGCATATGGAGGGGTGTGCACTTTGCCAATCTGGGGGTCTTGGTGAGGAGGGAAGACCCCGGGGCTCCAGGCGGATAGAGATCCACTGTGTGTCACAGTGTGGCTAAGACTTCACGCTCACTCCAAAATTCTTGGGAGTCGGTGGGGAGAAGTGGGGAGGCACTGGGCACTGAGGGGGGCAGGAGTCAAAATCGGTGGCGCCTCAGCGTGCCAGGTCACCGCTAGATGGTTGACCGACTCCGAGCCCAAGTCTCAGCTCCTTGGTGGACCTTATTCAGGCCACAGCCACCTCCACGGAAGATTCCCCACAGTTGGTTGGGGCACCCTCGTCCATCCCTCTCACCCGCATGTCCCCAGATCTGGACTCGGTGCCCTCGAGCTTTCTGGCTCACGGGCGCGCTCTGGTGACCGCTTGTGCTGCGGCTTCACAGCCAAGCCCCAGCCTTCCCAGCTCTCCCCGGGTACCACCAATTCAAGAACCCGACAAAGATCAGACGGCTTCTAGTCCCACACGCCGTCCTGCTCAGCCTGCCAGCTGGGTGATGGCAGTGGCGTTTGTGGTGGGAGCAGCAGACCTCGCGGTTCACAGGGTTCACCCACCAAGTCTGAGAGTTTGGAGCATGGCAGGGCATAGGGGGTACTACTAGGTTAGAGTGGCTGGAACCACAGGGCTGAGGAACCACGCTCATGAGATCTGACACCAGGCAGGGCTCAGGTGTGCGGAGGGTGCTGGCAGTGCCTTGGTGGACGTTCTGCTTCTGTCACCCCCACCGTGAAACACTGAGCGCCTGCCCGCCCATCATGGACTCCCGTTCTTCTTAATAAGCAGACAAGGGCTGTACTGAGCAAAAATCTGCAGACGCTGCGATGCAAAGATCCCCAAATAAGGATGCAGGCAGCCCCCCACATGTTGCCCTAAGCAGACCCCACCCTCGGCAACTTAGATGTGTGAGTCTGCACTGCCGCCTCGCGGCAGCATGTGTCTCCCTACCCACAACCTACGCGGCAGCACCCGGGAGCAGCCTCGCAGAGGTAGACCACTCCGACCGAAGGGGAACAATCCAGAAAACACAAGTGCCAGGCAGGACAGCCCCAGGCTTCTTATGTTTGCTGGAAAGCCTGTGAGAAGGGTTTCCATCCTCATTGTGCAATGAGGCATGGGGAACCTCATTACCGCCCAAGCATCTATTCTCAATTCTAGGGTGTCTTACTGTGCCTCCTTAGTGGCTGAGCTCAGGTGACAGAAGGGAAGGGGATGGGAGGGTGACAGAACGGAAACTACAACCACACTTTCAGGTCTTGCATCTTAAACCCTAGAATTAGCATCTCAAAACCCAAGCCAATGGAGATGTTAGTGCCTGGTGCTTAATAACGAAAGCTCAGAGCCTCCCCCACTGGGAGGCAGGTGTCGCTGCAGTGAAAGCTTACACTTGGACTGTGTCCTTGGAGGGGTCCGCGCTCTGGCTTTAGTGGCACAAGTTTCGGTCTTCATCACCGCCCCCCCCCCCGG